TCTTTAATTCATTTTGAGTTTATTTTTGTACATGGTATAGAATGAAGGTCCATTTCATTCTTTTGCATATGGTATCCCATTTTTCCAGCACCGCTTATTGAAGAGACTGTCCTTTCCTTTCCCCGAGGTGTCTTCTTGGCAACTTCATACAACATTAGTTGACCATATTTGCTTAAGTTTATTTTTGCATTCTCTATTCTGTTCCATTGGTCTATGTGTCTTTTTTTTGTTGTTGCCAGTATCATACTATTTTGATTACTATCGCTTTCTAACAGAATTTGAGACCAGATAGTGTGATTCCTCTAGCTTTGTTCTTTCTCAAGATTGGTTTGGTTGCCCAGCATCTTTTGTGGTGCCATACAAATTTTAGAATTGTTTTTTTCTATTAAGATTTCTGTAAAAATATTATTGGAATTTTGATAGGGAGTGCATTGAATCTGAAGAGTGCTTTGAGTAGTTATGGACACTTTAACAATATTAATTCTTCTAATCCATGGACACAGGATATCATTCCATTTATTTGTATTTTCTTCAGTTTTTTTCACTAATGTTTTATAAGTTTCAGTGTTTAGATCTTTCACCTACTTGGATAAATTTACCCCTAAGTATATTATTCTTTTTAATGCTATTGTAAATGGAATTGCTTTCTTAATTTTTCAGATAGTCTGCTGTAAGTGTGCAGAGACACATTTTTGTATGCTGATTTGGTATCTTGCATCTTTACTAAATTCCTTCCTTTACTAGCTCTAGCAGTTTTTGGTGGAGTCTTGGGGTTTTCCATATACAAGATCACGTTATATGTAAACAGAGACAATTTTACTTCTTCCTTCCCAGTTTGGATGTTTTTTATTTCTTTTTCTTATCTAATTATTCTGGTTAAGACTTCCAGCACTATGGTGAATAGAACTTACAAAAGTAGATATCCGTGTATTGTTTCTGATCTTAGAGGAAAAGCTTTCAGCTTTTCACCATTGAGTAAGGTATTAGCTGTGGGCTTGTCATATATGGCCTTTATTATGTTGAGCAACATTCCTTCTATACCTATATTTTTGAGAATTTTTGTCATGAAAGAATGTTGAATTTTGTCAAATACGTTTTCTGCATCTATTGAGATGATCACATGATTTTTATCCTTCATTCTTTAAAGTGGTATATCACATTTATTGATTTGCATAAGTTGAACCATGCTTGCATCCCAGGGATAAATCCATGTGATAAAGTCAAATGATCATTTTAATGTGCTGTTGAGTTCAGTTTGCTAGCATTTTGTTGAAGATTTTTGAATCTATGTTCACCTGGATATTGGCCTGTAGTTTTGTTTTCCTGTAGCGTCCTTGTCTGGCTTTTGTATCAGGGTAACACTGGCCTCATAAAATGTATTTGGAAGTGTTCCCTCTTCTTTAATTCTTTGAAAAGGTTGAGAAGGATTGGTACTAATTCTTCTTTAAATATTTGGGAGAATTCACCCAGGAAGCCATCTGTTCCTGGGCTTTTCTTTTCTTCATTAGTTAGTCTTGGTAGGTTGTGTGTTTCTAAGAATTCATCCATTTCTTCTAGGCTATCCAATTTGTTGGTGTATAATTGCTCATCATAATCTCTTATAATTCTTTGTATTTCTTGTTTTGTGGTATGGTATATAATCTATCCCAGAGAATGTTCCATGTACACTTAAGAAGAATGTATGCCCTGCTGCTATTGGATGGAATGTTTTGTACATGTTTGTTAGGTTCATTTGGTTTACAGTATTGTTCAAATCCACTGATTTTTTTGTCTGAATGATCTATCCATTGTTGAGAGTGGAGTATTAAAGTCCTCTACTATTATTGTATTGCTGTTTTTCACTCCCTACCAGCTCTTTTAATATTGTTTTATACTAGTATTACCAGTTTATATTAATACCAGTATATTAATATTATCAATTTATATTAATATCTGTTCTGTTAATATTTGTTTTATATATTTAGATGCTCTGTTAGGTGCATAAATATTTACTATTACTATATCTTCTTGATGAAGTGATCCTTTTATTATTAAATAATGATCTTCTTTCTTGTGACAGTTTTTGACTTAAAGTCTATTTTGTTTGATACAAATATAGCCACCTTGCTCTGTTTTGATTACCATTTCCATGGAATATCTTTTTCCATCCCTTTACTTTCAGCCTATGTGTGTTGCCAAAGCTAAAGTGAATCTCATATAGTTGTCTTGTTTTTAATCCATCAGCCATTCTTTTTTTAATGGGATAATTTAATCCATTTACATTACTTTTAAAGTTGTTATTGATAGGTAAGGACTTACTATTGGTATTTTGTTAATTGCTTCTGACTGTTTTGTAAAACAGTTCTTTTGTTCATTTCTTCCTCCCCTGCTGTCTTCCTTTGTAATTTGTTTTTTTGTTTTGTTTTGTTTTGTTTTGTTTTTGTAGTGGTATACTTTGATTCCCTTCTCTTTATCTTGTATGTCTGTACTATAGGTTTTTGCTTTGTAGTTACCATTAGGCTTATATAAAACATCTTCTAGTTATAATAGTCAGTTTTAAGATTATAATAGCTTAACTTTCATTGCATATGAAAACTGTAATTTTGCTTCTACCAACCTCCACATTTTATGCCATAGGTCACATAATTTACACCTTTTAAATTATTTGTCCAATAATGAAATTTATAGTTATATTTTTAGTACTTTCGTCTTTTAAACTTTATACCTTTATGGAGCAAAAAGTAATTTACACACCACCATTACATATTAGAGTATTATGAATTTGACTACATATTTACTTTTACCAGTGAATTTTATGCTTCCATATGTTTTCATGTTAGTAATTAGTATCCTTTTATTTCAGCTTGAAGGACCCCTTCAGTATTTCTTGTAAGACAGGTTTAGTGGTGATGAACTTCCTCAGCTTTTGTTTATCTGGGAAAGTCTTTACCTCGCTTTCATTTCTGAAGGATAGTTTTTCTGGATAAAGTATTCTTGGTTGGTATTTTTTTTTTCCTTTCAACATTCCAAATATATCATCCTATCTCTCCTGATCTGTAAGTTTTCTTCTGAGAAATCCACTAATAGACACGTGAAGGTCCTCTTGCACATGCTGTGTCTTTTTTCTCTTGCTGCTTTCAAAATTCTCTTTTTGACTTCTGATAATTTGATCACCATGTATCTCTGATAAGACTTCTTTGGGCTGAGATTGTTTGGGAACTTTTGAGTTTTATGAGTCTGGATGTTCATACTGCTCCCAAGATTTAATAAGTTTTCAGCTATTTTTTCTTAAATAAGCTTTCTGGCCCTTTCTCTACCTTCTCCTTCTGAGACTCCTGCAATGCATATATTAGTTCACTTAATGGTATCCCTTAAGTCCCCATAGGCTTTTTTTTTTTTTTTACTCTTTTTCATTCTTTTTTCTCCACTGACTGGGTAATTTCAAAAGACCTATCCTTAAGTTCACATATGGCTTCTACAGCTTGATTGAGTCTGCTGATGAAGTTCTCTATTTTTTATTTCATTCATTGTATTCTTCAGCTCCATGTTTTCTGTTTGGTTCATTTTTATGATTTCTATCTCTTTGTTGAATTTCTAGTTTTGTTCATATGTTGTTTTCCTGATTTTGTGGAGTTGTCTATCTGAGTTATCTTGTAGCCCACTGAGTTTCCTTAAAATAATTATTTTTAATTCCTTTTCAGGCAACTCATAGACCTACATTTCTTTGGAGTCAGTTACTAGAAAATTATTGTGCTCTTTTGGTGGCATCATGTTTCCTTGACTTTTCATATTTCTTGTGGCCTTGCACTGATGTCTGCTCATTTGAGGGAGCAGTCACCTATTATAGACTTTATACATTAACTTTGGTGGGGAAATATTTTCATTTGCAGGAGGGTGTGAGAGTGCCAGTTGGGTGGAGTGCAGCAGCTTTTGTTCCAGGCACTATGCTGTGGTGTAGCCTTCATGCAGCTCCATCATCTGCGGTCAGCACTGGGGACAACTGCAGGAGTCTTTGGCAGCCAAGGCTGCAGGTGTTTGACCTTATGGCAGCAGCAGCAAGGGCTGTTGGGGTCATTGGTGGCAAAGACTTCTGGGATCTTCTTGTTTTTCTTTTAATCTACAGCGGGTAGTCCTAACCAAGGGGATACCTCTTGGTGTGAGGTGTGGAATAGCCTGCAGGCAGTTGCAGCAGCACTGGATTTTAGGGTACAGTTGCTCAAAGCAGCAGCAGAGCTGAGGTTTGGAACTCTCGGGTGTGCCCCAGTGGCTTAAACTCTGGAGGTTGGGAGCTTGCAGTACAGTGGTGGCTTGGGCCCCAGGAGCAGGGCATGGCAGTGGCATGGCTCTAGGCCAATACCCAAAAGTTTAACCCATTCCAGCCTCAACTTTAAGTTTCAAATCTCATCTAATGATCATCAACTCAAAAAGTCCCAGACTGCAATATCAATCATCTAAATCAAGTATTGGTGTAACTTGAGATATGGTCCATCCAGGGAAAAATTTCTTTCCATCTGTGGACCTGTGAAACTAGAAAACAAGTTATCTACTTCTAAAATACAATAGTGGGACAGTCATAGGATAGACTTTTCCATTCCAAAATGGATAAAATGGAAGAAATAAAGAGAACACCAATTCTAAGGGAGTCAAAACCTGGCAGGGGATGGGCATAGAGGCTCATGTCTATAATCCTAGCACTTTGGGAGGCTAAAGCAGGAGGATCGCTTGAGGTCAGGAGTTTGAGACCAGCCTGAGCAAGAGCGAGACTCCATCTCTACAAAAAGTAGAAAAATTAGCCAAGTATGGTGGCATACACCTGTACTCCCAGCTACTCAGGAGGCTGAGGCAAGAGGATCACTTCAGCCCAGGAGTTTGAGGTTGCAGTGAGCTATAATGATGCCACTGTACTCTAGCTCTGGTAACAGAGTGAGACCTTGTCTCAAAACAATCAAACAAACAAAATCTAGCAGGGAAATTTTCATTAGGTTTCAAGGCCTGAGAAAAATTCTCAATCCTTTGGACAGCTCTGTGACCTCTACTTCCTGGAGAACTACATCAAGCCGCCGCCAGTCAACCACACCACCGACAGGATCTTCCGCCGCGGGGCCAGCAGGGTCCTCTGCTCGCGCCGGTGTGCGACCCTCCCGGGTCCGCGGACCTGGTCCTGGAGGAGGGGGACTGCGTGCGCAAGTGCGGCCTGCTGAACCTGACCGTGGCGGCGGAGGCCTGTCGCGAGCGCACCCACGTGGCCATCAAGACGGTGCGGGTGCCCGAGGTTAACGACTTGCGGGCTCTGGTCGAAGACCCTCGGTTAAACCTCAAGGTCATCCAGCTGGTGCGAGATCCTCGTGGCATTCTGGCTTCGCGCAGCGAGACCTTCTGCGACACATACCGGCTCTGGCGGCTCTGGTACGGCACCGGGAAGAAGCCCTACAACCTGGATGTGACGCAGCTGACCACAGTGTGCGAGGACTTCTCCAACTCCGTGTCCACCGGCCTCACGCGGCCCGCGTGGCTCAAGGGCAAGTACATGTTGGTGCGCTGCGAGGACCTGGCGCGGAACCCCATGAAGAAGACCGAGGAGATCTATAGGTTCCTGGGCATCCCCTTGGACAGCCACGTGGCGCGCTGGATCCAGAACAACACGCGGGGCGACCCCACCCTGGTCTGTGGCAATGCTGTCTGTCTGTCTGAGTCTTGTGGCTGCCCTCGGACCAGTGATGACTGGTGAATCTTAGGAGTTTCTGATTGATCTTGGGGTCCATCTGTGATATTTCTTTGTGCCAAAAAGAACACATAGTAGGTGCTCTGCCTCTGGATCTGTGGTAGCCTTATCCTCTGGGCCCACAGGGGCTTATCCTTTGGGTCTATGGTGGTACCTTAGAGTCGTTCTTTCTTTTTCTTGAAGGATAGCAAATAATTATAGCTGAATAGCTCTATCAGCCCATTTCCTGCAATGTAGAATTTTGGAAGTCTAAATAGTTCTCTCTCATTTCATTTATCTTGTTTTCTGCTTTTTAGTCCAAATTGGCAGTGTTTCTGCATATATAACATTCTCATAAACCTTGTGGTTTTCCTGTTGTGGTCACAGGAATCCATACCATTAGAAAGGAGGGTCTTCCACTGATCTTCCATGAGTAACTCCATTTCTATTTCCAGCTTCTGCTGAGGAGGCTGGGTGTATCCATGAGTCACCCTTTATCTCTTCAGCAAAAGCTTGTCCAGCCATACCCTTGGCCTTCTCTCTAGAGCGCAATTCCCAACAGTGAATTTTCCAATTTTAGCATCATTTGTAATCTGGATAGACTGAGAACCTCCCAAATAAAAGTGCTGGTTCATTTTAACTTATCAGTTCCTTTCCTGAGTTATCTTTCTGCTTGCATTTCAGTATAAGCAGCAAGGAGAAACCAGACTACACCTTCAATACTTTTCTTGGAAATCTATTCAGCTAAATATCTAAGCTATTGCTTACAAGTTATGCTTTCCACACAGCAAAGAAAACATGATTCAGCCAAGTTTTCTGCCTGTATATAACAAGGATTACCTTTCTTCCAGTTTTCAATAACATGTTCTTCATTTCCTTCTGTTGACAGCAACATTTGTATTCTCTTAGATAACAGAAACTTCTGAGACTTTTTCCATCTTATGCCTCAAAATTCTTCCATCTTTGGGTAATGTCACATTACCAAATTCCACAGCCACTTCCTAAGTTTTAGGTATTATATATGTCATAGGAGCACTTCACTTCTAAGTACCAAATATGTACTAGTTTCCTAGGGCTACCTTAACAAAGTACCACAGATAAAATGCAATTCAATCTATCGTCTTTACCACATCCTACAAGTCTGACGTGGTTTGGCTCTCTTCATCTCCACATGGCCCACTATGTTCCAGATATCGGTCTCATGCATTATTTTAAACTGTCTCAGGACCTGGATACTTGTTGTTCTCTTTCTCTTGAATGATCATCCCCTATCTTTCTGGGGGGTCTGGCCCTCATCATCATTGAAGTGGCTATCCAAAAGGCCCTCTCTGACCACATTTCCTAAATTAGCTTTCCTCATCACTCTCTCTCCCATTGTTTTATTTTCTTCATAGCACACTACTCACTACCTGAAAGTAACACACATCTTTGCTGTCTATTATTTCTCTCCCCACAAAACTGCAAGCTCCATGAAAGCAGGCCCTTGTCTTGGTAATTCACCATTGTATGCACAATGGCTGGCACAGTGGGTGGCACATAGTAGATGCTCAATAAATACTTACTCCATGAATGGCTTGTTAAGAAGGCTAAGTGGACTCATAAGTTCAGCCCAAGTGATGGGGTATGTGGAGCTGCTGTTAACTGAAATGAGAATGGGGAGAAAATAATGTTTTGAGAATGTTTAGTTTTGTAAATATAGAATTTTGAAAGAACCCATGAGATATCCAGGCAGAGGTTTTCAATAGGCCATGAGTCAAAAATTGGGAAAAATCTGTAGATCCGGGAGCTGTTGACAGGTAATGTTAAAACCATGAGGAGAGATAAGGTAGTAGAAGTAGAACAAACACCACCATTGAATGAGATAATTGAAAACAATTCTTGAGCTCCACTGTAGAGCCTAGTCTTAGTATCCATGAGATCTAGCTCTGAATCCCACTCCCGAGCAAAAAATATAATAGCAAGATTCTACTATAACTGGCTCCATGAACCCCTATATGTTTTTTATAATCCTTTCTCTTAACTAACTACTTGATCCTTTGAGTTGTTTCCCAGACATGAAAAAATTCCTTTCCTCCTGGGAAATCCTTATTGTCACAATAATTGGATCTTGGTGTAACAAGCAACTGGACCTAGACTGAACACCCCTTGTTGTTTCGACAACACTACCACATTTACTTGTTTTCTGGAAAATTGAGATAAACACAATTCCTACCATCCAGGGATCTTATGCTTAGCTAAAACATTACACGCATGCTGAAGTTAGGAACACCAAACAGCCCCTGCTACCTAAGAACCATTGTCCTGGCTTGGAGTCAGATGAGTTTGGCCCACCAGAGCCATCTTGGGCTGCACAGGCTGAAAGATTGCAATATTCTAAGAACACATCATTTTTTAGCAGAAAGTTAACAGTTCTGTCCAGATTAAGGTGACCTTTAAATAATCCATATCTATCATAGACTTCTTACTGAGAAGTTCAGAACTCAGGGCAAATTGCCCATGGTCACACTGAAAAGAGGGAAATGCTTGACCTAAGCACTAAACTGATTTTTGTCTCTGGCTGTACATTAGAATAATCTGTGCAGCTTTAGAAAACCAAAACAAACACTGCCTGAGCTCTTCCCCGTATCAATTAAGTCAGAACCTCTGGGGCTGGGCCTTGGACACCAGTATTTGCTTAAAGTGCTACAGGTGATTTTAATGTACAGTCATGAATGAGAAAAACTGGTTTCAAACTATAAAACTCTCACTGGAAGATTTTTCTTTCTTTTTCCCCCCTCTCTTTCCCGGAAATGAGAGGACATGAAAGCCCTCTCAGCATGTGTGCCTCACCCCCAGACAGACATTTATCATCAGCTCCTCTTAATGTGGCAGCTGGATGAGTCAGTCATCTCCTTGTTCCCAAGGAGCCATTGGAAAGGAAGGTCCACTAGGGAAACCAGCAGGAAGGAGGGAGAGTGGATCAGGTCCCAGGAACAGCAGGACAGTTCCACTATGGCATTGACTCATTAGGTTGGTATTTCCCTTTCCTCCTCTTTTGCCACAAAAAATGTTCAAATCCTAGAATATCAGAGCTGTGAGAGGTGTGAGCCAGGGCCTCATCCAAAAAGTTTGTATTAGTAATGATGATGGTAATGGAGACGCTGCAGAGTGATGAAGTGACCTGTCCGTATTAGTTACATTTTCCACTCCTCAGACTATGCCCCTACCATATAGTTGCTTCCTGGAGACATTCAGAGGACAAGCATACTAAGACACCTAAGGGATGGGGACCCATGGAAGAATGAGCTCCAGTACTCTAGGTACCACTTAGTGAGGGGTCAGGTCCAGAATGTTCAGACTTCTTCAGAGCAATGCATGCATTATAATCTCAGGAATGGAAAGCATTTTGGCCTCAAATACTTTGTTGAATGAGAACTCAGTGGAAGTATTTGACACAACCCACCACTGCATCCATCTTAAAGCCATCTTCTCAGTGACAGGACACATTCCTGATTGTTCTCCTACCTTTCTAAATAATGGCTCTTTCTCCACTGCCTTCACCGCTCCTCTCCCTCCTCACACTTTTCTTGGGGGTCCCTGAGGCATTTCTGAAGACCTAGAGATCTCCTGAGAGCAGCTTAAAACATGATCCAGCCCTAGCCCCTCATTTTATAGGATTGGAAACTGAGGTCCAAAAAAGGTGAGTGATCTGCTAATTAGTGATGCAGTTGGGACTAGAACCTAGCTTTCCAGACCTCCAACTGCTCAGTGCTCGGTTAACCTCACCACTGACTTGGACGCAGAAGAAAGAACACCAGTGTGCTGATCTATATGATCGCCTAGAAGCTTGTTGGAAATGCTGAATTTCAGGTCTCACCCAGACCTACTGAATGAATTAGAATCTGCATTCTAATAAGACCCCCAGGTGATTCTAACATACATTAAAATTTGAGTAGCACTTTTCTAAATCACCATGTAGATTTTCACTCATGCATCGATGCAAGAATTTTACACACTGTAAAGTAGGATGATGGGCACTGAAAAGGTTTTAGTACCAAAAAAAAAAAAATACCAATGGCAGTTGTTTTAGTAATTTAAAAGACTCTAGAAATAATGGTAAATTAAGGTATTTAGTTGGATACCACTAATATATGTGGCTATGATGGTCAATTTTCCATATCAAAGTCATTGTAAATTTAAATATTGTATTAATAATAACTTTTGGTAAAAAGAAAAATCTAAATCCTCATCACCCCAGTATCAAGTACATGTATCAATTTCCAATGTTCCCAAACCATCCTCCATTGCTATCCAAAGCCTTTGCTTGAATCAAAACTATGATGCATGATTGACTAAGTGCAAGCCAGGGACTGAGCACAAATTTCATTCTCATTATTGTCAAACTTCTGGCACAGAATAACTTCACTACCTTAGCAACTGTTGCACCCTTCCCAATTTCCTTGATCTTCTTCGTGTTGTCAAAAAATCATTTCCTGTGTGGATTTTTAAGCAGGCCCAAATCACACCTGATGTCTGCCAACTTTCCTTTTCCCTTCTCTCATTAACACTCAGTTCCACATCAAGAGCTTTGGCCTTTCCTCGTTTCTTGGCAACAGTTTCCAAAGAAAGTGCAAGAGCAAGGACGTACACAAAGACTATAACAGAACAAAGGCACAGCAGATAAACATATACCCAGGGAAACACAAAACCTGAGAATGTGAGAACAGTCGGGCCCCCTTTGGTATAATGACAGAGTATTTACCAAACCCCAGGAGTCACAGCTCCTCTGTTCTCTGCTCCAGTGCTGTCTTTGTGTACTCACATAGCAGCATTTGTAATATTCCGGCTGATGATTCTAATAGACTGCTGATTGTAAATAAGGTCAAGTCTGAATTCACAGAAACAAAAGCCTTTGAAGTAAATATAGTTGGGGAGAAAAGCAATCCATGGACAAAACTGTAACATCAACACAAGCCAGGATGTGAGAGTAACAAATATGATATTTAATAGATGCAACAGGTGCTCAAAGAAGATGCCAGCACTGGAGGCAGGGGAGAATTGTTCTTCTTTTCTCTCTGCAGACCTGCCTTTTTTGTTTACCCATTTTCACAGGGGGCAGAAAAACTGCCAGCTTTTCTTTTCATAGCTCCCAAGCTTACCCTTATAGAAGGACTGACAGAGAACAGCTGTCTCTCATAGTCACAACTCCAAATTCCCAACAGACAAAATGATTGGCAATTATATGCTGATTATAGGTAATAAGTTATATGGGCAATTCATCAGTACGTTTTAATGGCACTGTCGGTCTGTATTACTATGTCACTTATAATAGGTGCTTTTTAGCTAGGCACTTACCTGTAGACCTAGCTACTCAGGAAGCTGAGGCAGAAACATCACTCAGGAATTCAAGGTTGCAGAGCTTGATGAGGCCACTGCACTCCAGCCTGGGCAACAAAGCAAGACTCTGTCTCAAAAACAAACAAAAAAACAGGGTGTTTTTGACTGCAGGTAACAGAAAACAACCTAAAGTAGCTTAAGTAATAAGTCATTTTAACACATAAAAAAAAGTCAAGGTAAGGAGGTCCCTAGGATTTAGTGGCTGAAAAATGACATTGAAGACCAAAATCTTTTCTTCTTTCCCTTCTGCCATCCTCAGTGTATTAGTTTGACTTTCTAGCTGGCTCCCTTCATGACCCAAGATGGCTGTCATAGTCCCAGGAGCCAAGAATAGACGATGATTCCTCAGAAGAGTTTCTTTCTTTTTTTTTTTGAGACAGAGTCTTGCTTTGTTGCCCAGGCTAGAGTGAGTGCTATGGGGTCAGCCTAGCTCACAGCAACCTCAAAGTCCTGGGCTCAAGCAATCCTGCTGCCTCAGCCTCCCGAGTAGCTGGGACTACAGGCATGTGTCACCATGCTAATTTTTTCTATATATATTAGTTGGGCAATTACTTTCTTTCTATTTATAGTAGAGACAGGGTCTCGCTCTTGCTCAGGCTGGTTTCGGACTCCTGCCCTCGAGCATTCCCCCGTGCCCCCCCCCTTGGCCTCCCAGAGTGCTAGGATTACAGGCGTGAGCCACCACGCCCCACCAAGAGTTTCTTTTTATCAATAAGGAAAATAGTTTTCAGAAGTCTCCAGCAGACTTCCCCTTTTCTCACTGGCCAGAAATGTGTCACATTCTCATGCCTAAACCAATCCCTGGCAAGAGGAACAAGACCACCAAGCTTGGCTTGAGACAATTAGCATTCACCCCAAGGCCAAGGAGGGGCCAGTCTCCCCTGAAGCATCTGACTACCTGATACCCCAAATTTTGGAGTTCTATTAGCAAGGACTATAGGTAGCAACCAATGGCGTCTACCATGGCTTCCACTTCTAGGGTTAAAAAGAAGATGCTTGTCTTATCAAACAAAATCAGAGCCAGGATTAAGAAGCCACTTTTACTTAGCCAGCTGTCCTGTTCCAGCTAGGTGGGAAACTCAGCTGTGCTTAACTGCATAGTAATAATAAAAACTATAATAACAAACAATTACTGAGAACTCACCATTTGCCAGGCCCAGAGTTAAGTGCCTTACACACAAGAGGCAGATACTGTGCAAGGTGAGGTGAGCAAAGTGCAAAATTTAAGGAGGCACTCACATGCAAGTTGGATCTGAGAGTGGATGCCTCCTTAAATTTGGGGGTCCTCCTTGCCTCACACTAGTCTCAGCCCTAATGCCGCATTGTGCCACCCAGACCTGCCACAATGTTCAGAATTAAAGCACCCATTTCTCAGTGTTGGGAACGTGGGAAGCTAAGACCACACAGGGAACTGCTCTCAGCCGAAGACAGTTGCCTTGCCCAAAGTCTCATCCCTTCCTGGGGGGCTGCCCCTCCTCAATGACTGCTGGATGCAGGAGCATGAAGTTCAAGCACTTTTGTATCAGCTAATGTAAACTCTGAGATATTATCCGGTATCCAGAGCAGCCCGTGGTATTGGCTGAGGACTCTCTTGTTACTGCACTGCAGTTTACCCTATCCTGCCCCATCTTTTCTTGTTCACTCACAAAAGCAGCCCCCAGAAAGCAATTCTCCACCTCAGAGCCCATCTCTTAGTGAATCTGTCTGGCTACAGTTTGGTTCAGGAGTGGTCTGAAAAAGCAACATTAAAATAGGCTACAACTGGGGCAGTGCAAAGGCAATTTATGTAACCAAAGCATTCATACCCCTGTAATATTCTGAAATATAAAAATAAAATAAAATAGACTACAATGAGGACCTCATCCTCAGTGATCAGACAAAGCACTGAGAGACCCTGTTATGCAAGAGCAGTGCAATTTTTTAAACTTGCACTGGAGGGAACTAGGATGGGAAGCAGTGGGAGGGAATGCACAGGCAGGTGCCACGTATCAAGTATTTGAGAAATGGGGCAGATGATAATCATAAGGACTATGGCATTAGATGGCTGCTGTTGGGGGAATAGATGCATTGGGGGAAGACAGTGAAAGGCTGAGTGTGATTAATCACTAATTAAACCTAAATGTGAACACCAGAAGGCCTCCTCAGA